TGACGGCCCCCACGTCTGCTACAAGCTTAGTTTGAAAGTAAACAAGAAGCTGTAGCGTCCATTGACAAAAAAAGAGATTGGTTCACTTCTCCTGTCCCATGTAAATCCGCTTCACTTCCCATCACAGACTCTCGGTTCCAAATTGGCATCCCCAGCTCCACGCCGATGCTCCTCTATCATCATCCTCAGCTGCAGCAGCCATCCAGCCGGCCGCACCAAAGCAGACTGTCCAACAGCGCCGACATCCCCAACGAACAAAACGGGGCAGTGAAAAATGGCCTTTACAGGAACAATAAACAAGAGCGCACGCGGGGCTGTCGAGCGGCGACTGTCATCCCCCCCCCCCACCCCACCCCATTAAAATCTGTGCTGGCACACGCGTGCTGCCGAGAAGGCGCAACCATCAAGCACAGATTCTTCTCCTTCGCCGAATGTCGTGGCCAAAAGGCTGAAAACAGTACACACCGGGTCCACTTGTAGGACAACAAGCACCATATGACAAAACCAAAGACAAAAACTACAACAAAAAAAAGCAGACCTCTTGAAGAGGTTGAACAGACGGCTGCCAACTACGGTGCCATCTTGAAATACTCCTATTATAATATTTGTCTGTGAACATTATTGGATCTTCTATTTTTTTTCTGTGTTACTGTCATGCTTTTGCTCAAGTATCCATTCATCCATCTTCTATACTGTAGCTCTTATCCTCAAGAGAGCCTATCCCAGCTGATTTTGGGCAAAAGGTGTGTGGTGTACACCCAGGGAAGTCGCCAGCCAACCACAGGTTTATGCTTTAGTTGTTTAAAATAACCATAGAGTATGAGTGATGCAAATTTCTGTTCGCCTATCTATTCTTTTTCTAGGGATGGCGAACCGAAAACTGTTTAGTTTATAAAATGCTACTGTGCCGCTCACCGCTCTCGGTATGCGACTAGGGAAGGTCCCCCGACTCTCTCTGGATATAACATGATCAAAAAAAAAAAAGGTTCAAATTGTCATCATGCGCAAAACCAGGTTAAAAAAAGTCGTATACTGTATTGAGAATTTTAAACAGTGATAGATATCTATAAATGGTGAGTAAAAGAGAGCTGTTATACTTGTTTGGAATGATAAAAGTTAGAAGCTCCTGTTTGAGTGTTGTCACTCTCAGTTGGTGGAATAAGTTGGTCTAAAAAATTAAACTTTTACTATCTTCTCATGACTAATAAAAGTGGAACAGGGTGATTCCGTATAATGTACTCGGATATCGAAGGTATGCAACAAATGCACCGAGATTTCGGAAGTAAATTAGGTCACAATTCTATTCATAACTTTTTTCTTTTAATATCAGAAATCCTTAACATTACCACGTGGCTATTTTCTGTTTGATTACTGTGGCCCTAATACAAAATAATGTTACTTTTTATACAGATTGCCAGCCAGTCAATACGATTATATAAATGGAGAATGACTACTATATTGAAACAAAAGCTGCTGATATCAAATGCAGAAAAAGAATGAACAAAACCACAACAAACAACGAAAAGCGTAAAATTCCACTCGAATCAATAATGACTTTATTTTTTTGTTTTTATTTTTTTATTTTAGCTTGATATTAAGCAGCGCTCCAGTGTGCAAGGCAGTGTTGATGGTTGCGGTATTAATGCAGCGATCAATAGCAAGTAATCAAGTGCCACTGAAAGTAGCACCACAGTATGTGCCCGGAAACATGAGCCTCTGCTCGAAGAACTCAACGCTCAACTCTATCTTCTTTCTTCTTTCAAAAAATAACAATGACTCACACATACATTTGAACCCCGTTATGACTACTGCAACATGATACCAGGCCACGTACAAACACATAGATCTGACTACTGTAAACATTGTTCCTTTTGTGATTCATGATTCCAGATGAGTTTAAAAGTCAATTGTCTACAAATAGAGCATTCATTTTATGTATTAATTCTTGTACCTAATTTAAAGCTGCCACAAAACATTATTCAATAAATTACATGGCTTGAACTACGGTAATGTTGCTATAGTGATGATGGTTATTTAAGCGATCTAAGAGAAGGGTGACTCGAATGGGGTGCACTAATCAAGGCTGACACCTAATGGCCAAAACTTCAGCACAGTGAAAAACATTTGTGTTGGGTTGTGCAAAATATACTTGATCTGTGTCCCAATACTAATGCCCACCAGTCACGTGCACATATTTTTGGGGGGAGGGGATGCAATTGCTCTATACCCAAAAAAGGGCACCCATTACCAAAATTACTAATAATCAAAGATGGTAAGACAAATTATCAAATTAATATAGGAACAGGCAAAACATAATCATGGAAAATTGTAATTGGGAATTTACCCAAATTTCGCTCTGAATAAATGCAAGGAGTGGGGGTCTCTTGATACGTTCTATAAAAAAACATATATCCATTATCTAACCTGCTTCATACTCACGAGGGTCACAGGCATCCTGGAGCCTATCCCAGCTGTCTTCGGGTACGAGGTGTGGGACACCCCTGTACTGGTTGTCAGCAATCACACACAGACAAACAACCATCCGCACTCACAATCACACCAAGGGACAAATTAGAGTGTTCCATCAACCTGCCATGCCTGTTTTTGGAATGTGGGAGGAAACCGGAGTGCCCGGAGAAAACCCACACAGGCACGGGGAGAACATGCAAACCCCACACAGGAAGGCCGGAGCCCGAATCAAACCTTGCACCTCTGCACTGTGACGCCGATGCGCTAACCAGTCGACCACCGAGCCATGGCAAGAAAAACAACTAAACTGACAATTGCCACCACTACAAAACAAGGCCGTGTGAACAGCATTATAAGGAGGCCTTTGTGAGTAAAGATACTTATAAAGTCAACGAGCTTGTAAGCAGAAGAGGGCTGTCTTAGCATGCAAAGCTAACAAAGCTAACGCTACCATGCATTCCGTGTTACGTTGCATGTGACCATGGCGAAACTGACAAAAGACAATGCTTCACTGTTTTTCAATGGCACCGAGAAATTTGATCCTTTACTCTCATCGCTCCCTGTTACTCCTTCTAAATGTCCCGACTACAAAAAGTAGTGTGCGAGGGACGAATCATTCACATAGCCTTTTAATGATTACATCCTGAAGGCTCTATTGGTGCTAATGGCATACTTCAGAGAAATTATCCATCAACACAGATGTCATTGCTGATGAAAAAGTTCAAGGAAGAAGAAATTAAAAGCACGTGGAAACGAATGACCAAAATGCAGCAGAGAAGTGACGACGCAGAACGCTACAGCAGGCGATGGAACCTGAGGCTGACAAAGGCTAAAAGAAACTCCTCAGGAAAACGTCAAGGCTAAAATAATGAAGGTCTTTTCCGCGATCACACCTGAGCACAAGGAGAAGGTGGGCTTTCTCATCGACACAACCCACGGAGTCGGGGTTCCCTGTGACATCTCTAACCGACCTATCATCGTCCAATTCAATATGAGGTCCAACAACGTCATTCTGAGAGGGAAGAAGCTACAGCTCAAAAAACGATTTGACACATGCTGATGGGAAAAATTGGTTGAAAGTACAAGAAATCACGCGGGTTTCCGTGGCCGAACCTATATTGAAGGAAAGAGAATAACCTGATTGTGAGGTTTACAAATTCAACACTTGTTAGCAAGGTTACATGGTAATCACTTATGACAACCTGTTGAATATGTGAAATTAGACTCTTGATACTTTTAGTTTCGGTTAAATGGTCACAAGTACTAGTTGTGCAAATGATCTGTTTTGTAGCTATATTTTGCTGTTAAAATGTCATGTTTAAGCTTTAAGGCACAGAGTTTCTGTTCTTTGAATGTAAGAGGTCTTTGTGGTAATACTAAGTAATGCAGTTTTTTTATTTGTCAAAAATTACAACGCGGAGATAATATTCTTACAAGAAACTCATTCAAGTATTGAAAATGGAAAGGCTTTGGAAATCTCTCTGTTGATGTTGCAATATTGATGAACAGATTCGAAGGGGATCTTTTGGAATCTAATTTCAGACGACGGTCGTTGGATTACAGTATTTTGGTGTACTCAGAGACAGGAGATGACAGTTACAATGAAACACGGTTTGTTTTAAATTTGATCCCCAAACCTGGTAGAGGCCACTTCACAATTGAAGATTGGAGACCAATCTCTCTTCTAAATGTGGATTCTAACATTATTGCACAAGTTTATGGGAAACGGCTAAGAAAAGAATTTGGAAGAAAAACCAAGTGAAAGTCAGAATGGCTTCATGGCATAACGTCATATCAGCTCTCACATCAGAAGAATGTTGGATTTGGACTGTGAGGCTGACGTGCTCACCACTGGACCACCGGGCCACCCTATTGTTTTATTATTTTCATTCCTATTTTTTTTCTTTGATTTTATTTACACAGGAGTACCAACAATTTTTGTACATGTTTGAGTTCTTGAGAGAATAGCTTTTGTCATTTGAACAGTGGCGTGTTGACCACTGTTGCTGCTTCTGTACACCTCCTTTGTAAAATGGTGTGTGTTGATTGTCTTAACCGCAGTGAATACATCCGTTTAAAATATTGTATATCTACTGTTTTTCTTGAGTGTGTGAATCATTTTGCCAATGTGTACCCTTTTTTTGCCTTGAGCACCTGCCCTCAAAAATGTCCGTGCACATGCCTGCGATTGGCCATTGCTAAAATGCTCACAGTTGGCATACCAATGAGTACAGAAAACACACTGGCATATTGACACAGATTTAACATTGCGCTATGTCAGGTACACTTGTATTCTGAATGTGAATAGCTCAAATGCTAACGTGTTAAGCGTTATGCTAACATAACAAAAGAGCGTCGTGGTTGGCGTATTTTCGATGATGCCCAATAATATCCAATGTGAACTGAATCCAAATTTATTGGCAACTGTACTGATATGATCACATCCACTAAATAAATAAATAACTAAATAATTCCACCTTGTGTCTTGAAGCAACATCTACCTTTTGATGGATCATTTGGGGGGATTTAACAGTGTGGAATTCTATCAAAAACAGCTGCAATTCCTTTTAAATGAAAGCCGAAAGATTGTATGTCCACACATCATTTCTTTTATGTCAAATCCAGTGTGGTGGCTTATAAAACAAAAACTGATGAAACTCAGTAGGCCGCAGACAAGGAATTGTTTCCTCACACCTGCTGCTATCTAAAGAAGCCAGGGTTGAGTTCTGACCCTTGACCTGTTTGGAGAGCACACCACGTCACCTTGTCACCGTCTTTCCGATGTGTCCATAATGAGGAAACAGGGTCATGTTCTGCGGGAGGTGACTGCAGGCCACTGAAGCACACCTGCAGCCTTTATAAAGATATCACAACACCGGAGGTCCACTCTCAGACCCTCTCACTGGCTTCATGCCCTCCAAACGGTGTTGCACTTCACTTAAGGCTGCCCGAGGTGAGTTGCTGTCCTTAAAAAAAAAAAAAAAAAAAAAAAAAAAACTCCAGACAGTGACGAGTGCGCAACTACAGAAAATGCCATTATGATTCTGTGTCGACCAGGCGATCGGAGGATGGTACTTCTCATGTGGTGCATGCTCGTCCCCATCTTCTTTTCGACCAGTATGGAGGTTGTGCTAGATAAAAGTAGTCACCTGACCAGGTATTTACGTCTTAAATAGTTGCAAACGTGACAATAGTCTCGACTTGTTATCAGTGGAAAAAGTCTATCCTTGTTCTCTGCTTTCCCCCGTCAGATGGCATTCATATCAGATGGAAAAGGGACAAAACATAATCGAGAACTACAAGAGACATTCCGAAGGAACCTTTGCCAATGACCTGACTGGCCACCTGGATAAAATGAAGGCCAAAGACTTTGTGGCGTGGCTGACCACTACTAAGAGAGAAAGGTAAGCTCAGAGCTGTCAAATGTAAAAACATAGCAGAGACATGAAAACTTCTCGTGACTGACTATTTTACTCAAGTGTGTAAATTCTCTACATAGTGTAACACACTTTGCATTTTCATTGCAGATGTCGTGGAAACTTGCTTCAGATCGCAACAGAAGTACAAGAGCATGTCCAAGAAGCATGCTAGAATATCCGCATTGAAAGTCATGGGTTTTTTTCTTCCCCCAATTAATATATGCAGTAATAGCAATGGTAGTAGTATTTATCGGATTTTATTTAAAGTTTTTTTTTGGGTATTTGTATTAAAAACTGGATTTTTTTTTCTGTGAAATTAACTGTATTACACAATTTCATCTTTAGATTTGAGAATAACAATCTTCACAGCCCGCTATATTTCTGTTTGTTTTATTGTTCTAAACTATCATCGACGTGTTTTGTACGGTAAAATCTACAATAAATATTTTATTGCAGAATGCCGTGACACTGTTGATGCTCCTCTTCTACCACATGGGTGTACTGTTACTCTCCAAATCCAAATCAGGCAGCTCTGAGCTCAGGATTCATGGGCGGATGAGGGAAGTCATCATGTGGTCAGGAAGGCTTTATGTTGGTGTTTTCTCGTTGTTGTTGTTTTGTTTTAGTTGTTTTATACAGTGCAGAGCAGACCCCATTTTTCACACACATTGATAAGTATGCACAGCTGTATTTGTGGATGATTAGAGAGTCTTTTTAGGGGGGGATAGATAAGCAGGGACTGCAGTGGCTATGAATGAAATGGGCTTTAAAGGGTGGGGTTTGCATGTTCTCCCCGTGCTCACGTGGGCTTTCTCCAAGTACAGTACTCTGATTTTGAGAGTCCCAAGATGTGACGATGAGTGCCAATGGTTGTTCGTCTGTGTGCACTGCGATTGGCTGGCAACTATAGTTCAGGGTGTACCCCGCCGACTGTCCGAATATCCTCCTGAGGAGAAGCGCATTAGAAAATGGATGGATGGACATACATTTATTTTGTCATCATTTTATCAGTGCTGTCTTATAAATCGAGAAGCAGACAAGGGGTAAAAATGTCCAGATTTAGCCAATCAGGGTCGGACAGCCTGCAGAATGCTTTTGGTGGCATGTAGCGCATCTGAAATGAAAATGTGTGGGAATTTTGTTCAACAATCATTTATGAGTGCAAGGATCGGATTTGTAATGGAAAACTGCGTCAAGCTAGTTCCCAATTATTGTCTTGAATTATGGTGGCCTATAAAGCGCAAAATCGTTCAAAATGGTGTCATGAACAGTTTTGACGATTCTGTTACACAAAGTAATTCTGGATCTCTGCCAATCACGTCGCGCATCTCTTCCCCATACAGGACTTTTATCCTCACACCCACTCCCGCGGTAAGCCCGCTGCCCCGCCTCAAGCTCCTCAAAGCCGGGCTGAAAGATGTCGGAACTGGTGTCTCTCCACCCAGTGGCATCAACATCACCTCGGACGACAGAAATCCCCGCCCGGCAAACGATGCCCTCGTCGCTCTCTTTTGTTGCCTCTCTAGTTGCCTTTTCGAAGGTCCTCATTTGATCCAATGTGCTTTCCCAAGCAGCCGTTGCGCACGCATGCATTCTTGTGACGGAGGCGCTGGCCCAAATTGGGAGTGTGTTCCTGACTCCGCCTCAAATGCTGCATTAATTTATCTGCACTGCAGTGCTCCTGCACCTCCCTTCTTTCTCCCCCTCCTCCGCTTCACCTCACGGCATTTTCAGAGCCAGGATGGCCAGCAAGAGGGAGGGCTCAGAGGTTAGGTGTCGTCTTCAACTCCTCAACTTGCTACCGAGACGAATGAAAATAAATATACGATGTGTTATCTCCAAATCTTAAAAATTACATAATTTATTTTTCAAAAAAGGAATGGGGGCGGCGGCCCGGTAGTCGAGTGGTTAGCACGTCGACTTCACAGTGCAGGGGTACTACGGGGTTCAATTCCAGCTTTGGCCTTCCTGTGTGGAGTTTGCATGTTCTCCCCGTGCTTGCGTGGGTTTTCCCTGGGTCCTCCGGTTTCCACGCACATTCCAAAAACATGCATCGCAGGCTGATTGAACACTCCAAATTGTCCCTCGGTGTGAGTGTGAGCGCAAACGGTTGTTCGTTTCTGTGCCCTGCGATTGGCTAGCAACTGGTTCAGGGTGTCCTCGCCTACTGCCCGAAGACAGCTGGGATAGGCTCCAGCACCCACCGCGTCCCTAGTGAGAATAAAGCAGTTCGGAAAATGAATGAATGAATGAGTGAGGGGCATTACTGCTGTAGGGATATTATTGCGACACCTTGCCAAGGTAATTAAGATATGATGATGCAATATAAGCATACAGTACAATGTAAACATTATTCATGGAGTTAGTAAAGTTTAAAATCAAGGGCTTTCTATGCATAAAGTAATGAGTTTGTTACAAGTACACATTTTAATCAGTCGAAAACTTCTTGGAATAAGTTGGTATATTAAAACAAAGAAAACAAGATAATTCTGAACAAACGTTTCTGCCTTGACTTAACATAGAAGTTATTCATTTAGTACAGTGGTTCTTAACCTGGGTTCGATCGAACCCTAGGGGTTCGGTGAATCAGTCTCAGTGGTTCGGCAGAGCCTCTGCCATGGAGGATAAGACACACCCGACTCAACGTGTCAATTAGTTATGACAGTCACGTTTTGCATGGCGGTACCTGGAGGACCCCAAAAAACAGGCAAGAGGCAAGAGAGGAGCGTGGGTGGATTGACCAAAATATATTGAACAAAAATACAAAGAGGAGTACAATGGAAAAACACCAAGTTGAAGTACTCAAACAAATGCCTGGAAAATCATAAGGAACCAAAGTAACAAACAAAACTATGACAGGAAACAAAACATGACAGGAGCACACGTATACTCACATACTCACACTCACAATGACCCAACAAAGACTGACAGAACTCAGGGAACTAAATACCAGCAAAGTGACGAGACAACGAGAAACACCTGGACAAGACACAAAGGATTGAGGGAGCTGATTGGTTAAACACAAGGGACACTGATAACGAGAACAGGTGGCGACAAAAAAGGGCACATGAGGGAACAAAACCAAATGTAACCAGACAGAAACATAACAGACATGCCTGCTTGACCATCCCTGGCTGGTTCATTTTGTGCACAATTAAAAAAATTATACTTTATACTAATATATACTAATTGTGTTTACTTTTTTCTGTTTTTAATAAATGCAGTTTTATATGTCTTGAATATGTAAAAAAATCAAATTTTTATTTTTCAGTAATGATTGGTTCATTGAATGTGCATATGAACTGGTTGAGTTCAGTACCTCTAACAAGGTTGAGAACCACTGATTTAGTCCAATTTTTTAAGCATCCTTTAAAAACTGAATACAAGACAGATTGGAGATAATTTTGGATTGAATTAGACACTTTTTACCTACTGTCAACATGAAGATGAGAAATGTGACTCTTAAAATAAGGTGGATTTAATACAAAATGTACTGATGGAATGCCCAAAAAAATGAGAACGAGAGGAGTACTTTAAAGAGTATCAAAATGAGTAGATGGTGGTTGTTATTAGAACTATCTTGATGACACAAGTGGATGTTTCAATCATTAGATATTAATAGTCATTTCTGAGAACAACTGGCCTGTGTACTAGAAATTAAAGAGGAAGTCAAGTCAAAAATGTATTTATACTAACCAATACTGCATTTGTGGAATATGAATTAAACAGCCAAATCCGCCCGTTTTTATCCGTCTCGGGGGCGGCCATTTTGCCACCTGCTGTTTACTGAAAATGACAACACAGTTGTTCAGGGGTCATGGGGGCTACAGAAATGAAGATTCGCCCCATCCAGAACATGTAGCTACATGTACAAATGAAAAAAATGTAGTTCATTTTCCAGTAGTTAATGTTGACTCTTTGATCATAGACTTGTACATCTCAGGCTGTCATGCTGTGCTTTTCAGCGGACCTAAATTTTACAGTTGGCCAGAAATATATTCATTGTCTCCAGTGGTCCAGTGGTTATCGCATCGACCTCACAGTGCAGAGGTACAGGGTTCGATTCCAGCTCCGGCCTTCCTGTGTGGAGTTTGTATGTTCTCCCCGTGCCTGCTTGGGTTTCCTCTGTGTACTCCGGTTTGCTCCCACATTCCAAAAACAATGAAACACTCTAAATTGTTCCTAGGTGTGAGTGTGAGCGCGAATGGTTGTTCGTCTCTGTGTGCCCTGCGATTGGCTGGCAACCAGTTCGGGGTGTCGCCCTGCCTACTGCCCGAAGACAGCTGGGAAAGGCTCCAGCACACCCCATGACCCTTTGAGGATAAAAGGATCAGAAAATGGATGGATGGATGTTTAGTTATAAAGCATGGTGGAATGCTGGACAAAACTTATTGAATTACATTTTTTGTAAAAAATGTGAAACCATTTTGTGTGCTGTTTCTGGTCGACCTCTTGCAAATGTTGGTCATGCATTATGCCATTGTTTTTCTTTGTGTCATTCTTTTTGTCCAATATGTGTCTATCGTCCAGCAGTAAGTTACACACGTTACGTGGACCCAACATGGACACACCCGTATTTTGAAAATGTTGCCATAATATATGTCAATAGCTCTTACGCGTTTTTCCAAGCTCAACTAATTAATTACAAGCAATCAGTGCACACATGGAAAATTAAAGAAGCCTTCCTTTAAAATGTCTCATTTCTCATGGTTGTCCACACACTGTTTATTAACACAAAGTAATGACAGCCTGCTCCATTCTTGAGTCTTTGCCCAGGAGCAGGCAAATAAAGAGGGAGAGAGAGAGAGAGAGGGAGAGAGAGGGAGAGAGAGAGAGAGAGAGAGAGAGAGAGAGAGAGAGAGAGAGAAAGAGAGAGAGTAAGAGAGAGAGAGAGAGAGAGAGAGAGAGAGAAAGAGAGAGAGAGAGATCATGATGCTTGTTTTGATTGGTGGTTTAGATATGCACTTGGTGATGTTGGCAGATACCTACTGCCATCACTCCATTGATATTTAGTCCCAACATGAGACCATGCAGTAAAGATTGCAATCCTTGTAAAAACATTTCAACGTATGCTTTCCAATGTGATTGCTTCACATTATATTTACTGCAGGCTGGACCACAAAAAAAAAAAAAGCAGGGGGAGGTGGTGAGGACAGGCAGTATCTTAATGCACGGGGCTTTTAACAAACTCAATAAACCCATTACAAGGAGAGGCCTGCAACCACAATAGCCCTGAACCGCATTTCCCAGGATGTTTTGCGATCCTCTTGCGTCCTTGCACCGCAAAAGGCTGAAAGGAAAAAGGTGGCTGCCATTTGGGAGTCATTGCATTTTTCAAAAAGAGGCAAAACCACAAGTTTGT